GAGGGGACAGATCTACAGAGACACGTGGGGGTGGGGCATGCTTTTAGCAAGCTAGGTGGAGAGTGTTCCTGCTGCATTGTTTTCTGCCAGTGTCTGTGTATCTAGGCAGGGGGAGGGAAATGGTGCAGGCCAGCTCTTTTGTTGAAGTCTCCCAAAGATCTCTGCCCTTCCAGCACACACTCTTGAGATTATTAAATAAATCTCCTTCCTGTATACCCCTGGAATTTTTCAAGTTGCTGCTCTATGCTGGATCTCAGTGGGGCTTTTTGTTGTGCTGTCTCTTTAAGGGACAGTTTTCTATTGCCTTCTGGCTCTCAGAGCCAAGCCCGCTGATTTTTTAAGTTCAAAGTGTTAAGCCTCTTTGATTGTAAGAACTCCGGAAATTCAACCCTCCCGTTTTCAAAGCCAAATGTTTGTGGGCATTTGTCTTCCCAGTGTGGGTCCTTTGTGCCTGTTGTGGGGTCTACTCCCCACCCTGATACCCAGACCTGCGGCATCCCTCCCTCTCATGGACAGTCCTGTGGGTCAGTTTGGCTCCTGACCACATCAGTGCTTCCTAACCTCCTTGATGTGGCCTCTTCTTTACATTTGGTTATGGAGTCTGTTCTTCCAGTCTTTAGGTCATCTTCTGGGTTCAAAAATAACCATACTTAGGTAGAGCAATCTTTTTACCATGCACCCTTAGGAGAAGGTGACCTGAAACATCATCACATCTTGCAACCTGGAGATTTTGTTGGGAAAAAAAACAAAAAACAAAAAAAACCCACCTCCATAGAGAGTCTTCTACCTCATTGGAAAGGCCCTTCCTTATCAGGAACTGCAAACCAAGCCTTATACCACAAAACTCCAGGGAATAGATTCACATGACATATCTAAAGAAAGCACCAAACCATGACCGGACCTGCATACATCTAATGACGTGAAAGTTAAGATTTCCTGGAATTAAAGCGGATGGCATCTGACAAGACAGCTTTCCCAAGATGTCTGGACCAGGCCTGTATACCTTTTTCTCACCGTTGTGTCTTCTGTCTTTTTTTGTGGGAAGACAATACCTCATCTGTATTTCCCAAACCCTTGTGGAAGGGGGAACCCTCTTCTTTTGATTATAGCTTTTTGGAAAGAGCCTTATCATGCTCCTGGGACAAGCTACTTTTTCACTTTATTTTTGAAAGGTAGGAAGTTCAGAATTCACAATTTCATCTGAACTATTAACTGACATTGGATCATTGGATTCTTGTCCAGATTCATGGTTTCTGAGTTTGCAGCCTTACAGATTCTTTTCTTTTCTTTTTTCTTTTCTTTTTTCTTTCTTTCCTTCTTTCTTTCTTTCTTTCTTTCTTTCTTTCTTTCTTTCTTTCTTTCTTTCTTTCTTTC